CAATTTTGTTCTCGCAACTTTTACTAGTAAAATTATTTTTTTTGTGTGTAAACTTTTGCTGTTTTGTTTTCCTCACGCGTGTAGAAAAAATAATGTACCTAGCACGTGCGTAAAGTGACTTTTCCGCACTCGATTTCTGGCCGAACTCCGCTAACGCGTCGTTCGGCCATCTGCAATCGCGTGCGGAAAAGTGGCACTTTCCGCACTTGTTAGGTAAACTACTATTTCATACGACTGCTCTGTAAAACGTTAAAAATCGCACGCCAAAGTCAATCTGAAAGTGACGTCAACTACTCATATAGGGAAAAAAGGAACAGGTACCGGGTGTTTGGTTATATTTTGCACCCGCACCTATCTCACCTGTTTGAAGAGATACCTAGAAATGTTAAATAAGAAAGTTGTAGGTAATATCAGAAAGTTTTCAATGAAGTTAGTTAAAAGTATACAGGGTGTGTCACGAAAGTGTGGCAAAACAAAGTTATACTATTTTAAATGGAACACTCTGTATATTTATGACATTTCTGGATTCTGCGGAAAATTCTAGATATATTTCATGTACAATGTCTTATACCTATCTTCAACTGTTTCGAAAATATTGACAGTTGAAAATTGACTTTTTGCAACTTTGACAGGCTGTAAAACCTTAACGTTTGTTTTTAGAGGAAAACCGATTTCACGTTCCTATCCTAGATTTTCATAAACTATCATTTAAGACCAACTTTGAATTTAACCGGAGATTAAATTTAACTGGAATTTTTAATCATGGACTAAATTTAATGTTAGTGTCAAATGATAGTTGATGAAAATCTAAGATAGGAACGTGAAATCGGTTTTCCTTTAAATCAACCGTTTAGGTTTTACAGCCTGTCAAAGTTGCAGAAAGTCAATTTTCAACTGTCAATATTTCCAAAACAGTTGAACTTAGCTTAGGTATAGGGTATATCACATGAAATCTGCTCAGAATTTTACGTACATAGAATCCAAATAGGCAATAACATATAGGGTATCTCATTAAAAATATGCAAGCTGACGTCTACCTCCAGTATAACCGGAAGTGCCACAGTCTTGAAATTATTTTAGCCGGATGGCCCCCATCAACATTGTTTTGTTGCCAAATTTTCAAAATTTCCCAAAGTTTATTTTCTGAGAAATCGATCGCGGCAGTTCGTTGTGGGACCACTGTATGGTTATGATTGTTCAGTAGGACATAAAATAATCAAGAAAATTGTTTTTGCTAATTTTCATGAACCACCATGTATTTGCGAAACTAATAGAAATTTGGCAACAGCAAAAAATTATTTTCATTATTCTTCAAAAATGGCAACTTTTTTCTAATTTAACCGCGGCCCGTATTCTGGTATCGTGGGAGTGAGATCCCCGAGAGAATCACATTTGAGAATCAAATGTAGCTTTCCCCAGGGGCCCGATTCTCGTTTCAGGGAAGGAGAGCTCCCCGAGAGAACAAGTTTTTTGTCTTCATCATTCTCGTTTACTTTTCGATTAAGTTGACAAGGACAAAACATTCGTTCTCTCGGGGAGAGAGCTCTCCCTCCCCGAGACGAGAATCGTGCCCCTGGGGGATCTCACTCCCACGACACCAGAATACGGGCCGCATCTCTTACCATCTCTTACCGTATCCGATATACCAATTGGTCCATGGTATTTTGGACACTCTGTATAAATAGCTATTATAATGCGAAATGTTTGACAATTTTAGGTAATCGCCGGATACTATTTGGATGCTGTGAGATTAACAGGTGGTTGTCCAAAAACTGTCCGGTCTGACATGGGTACCGAAAATGGGTTGGTGGAACGAATACAAAAAACCTTTCATCAATCATTCAATACCGAGAGGTGTGATAGACCATCCTTCTTATATGGGAAAAGTACACATAACCAAAGAATTGGATCTTGGTGGGGAATGCTTAGAAAACACTGCGTTCAGTTTTGGATGAACCTTTTTCAATCACTGAAAGATGAGAATTTCTTCCAGGGAACGACTCTTGACAAGATGTTAATACAGTTCTGTTTCTCGAAGATAATCGAGGTATGTTATTTTGCATGGTTAGAATTACAAAACAAAAATATACGATACACGATCACCAATTAGTTTCTGTAGGTAGCACAAAAATCGCCAACAAGAAATGTGGCTTCACATATAGGCACATTTTTTGGAAACAAATACAAAAATGGTTTTTTCTCCGAATGACAGTGAAATCGGCCTTTTCATGACACTTGACAGGATCAAAAGTTGTACATTTACTGCCTAGGCATTAAAAGTGATAGTGTCGAAGATGTCCATGAATGAAATGAGAACATTCGGAGAAAAAATTATATGTTTCACACGGCAGAAAAGCATATTTAATTCGGAGGGGCCTATAAGATTTCTTCGTCAGTAATGACGTCAGAGGTTCTCCTTAGTGGTTTTATCTTTAATGATGACTTTTTCTCCCATGTTCAATCCACCTCGTCCTTTTCAGTGCAAAAGATGCGCGATAAAAAAAAAGCCTCGAGCGTTTTTGAAAAAAAAAAAAAAAAACCTGATTTTTTACTGAATTTATGCCAACCTTCACGTTCTCACTGTAGGTAGTTGTGTGGTGCGTGTGTGGATCATGGTTAGACCATCTTCTTGTTAATTATTCTGTTTATTTATAGAGAGAAATGGTTGAAGTTGTTCATGAGTGGAATATTCACAAAATAAGTAAAACCAGAAACAGTGTATCTCCAACTGGAAGACCAGCTTTAATGTATGAAGTCCCTTCTTTCTACGGAGCTCAAAGTTATTTAGTGCCAGTACCTGCCTTTGCAATTGATGAACTCTCCTCTGGTTGTACATTCCAAGAGCATCCATGCGACAAGGATTTTCATGAGCTTTGTATTATTTTAATAGAAGAAAATCAATACGTCCAAAATGAAAACCCAACAGATTGTGTTGATTTGTATAAAAAGTTGAGAAATGATTTGCGCAATATATTTAACATTACCATTTAATAAATGGTTTCATTGTTCATTATGCTCCCGGGTTATAAATGAGGGACTTTTTAAACAACCGCACTCAGTTTTCACTTTTATAATTTCTTTATTGTTACATAATATATGCATTTATGGCTGGGCATCTCGAACTACATTGTCATAATAAACTTATTTTGTTCCAAAATGTTTTTTTATCCTAAAATAATGTTCTTTTCACCCTTGTTTCCTCAAAAAAATAAAATAAAAATTTGATTCTCATTCTGTAACAACTAATCACAAAAAATCACACAATGTTTTTCTCCATCTAAAAATATAGAAATAAAACAAATTAAACTTACTCCTTAAAATAGCAAAAAAAACTTATACTTGCTGTGTGACCCAGGAAAAAGATGCTTTCTAATTCTTTATCCTATTCAAAATCTGATGTCAGGTGTAGGTAAATTTATCACCTTTCCCTATCAAATACTTCTGGAAGGTGATAAATTTTATCTTTACCTTTAGATATCGGATTGAATAGATATTAAATTTTTAATAAAATGGCAAGTTTTATTTGGTATTTAAATTTAAATCGACGTCATTTCTAATGGGACATTCAGTAAGTATGTAAGATAAAAAATAAGCTTGACGAAGTAACACATACTTATTATCAAAAACGTAACAACACAATACAGTCTGTAACCTGTAACTGGACTACAGAAAAACTTATTAGGTTTAAAACCCAAAATGACTAAGGCCTGGTTGTACCAAACAGTGGTTCAGTTGAACTCTACTGGTACTTGATCTTTCTTATTTGGAATGCGTTGCTGTCAAAAAATATGAACTTTGACAGATTTCTGACATCAATGCGCTCCAAATTGGGAAGATCAAGTACCAGTAGAGTTCAACTGAACCTCCATTTGGTACAACCAGGCCTAAATAAAATAAATTAAAACTTGGTAAAATTGGCTAGTATGCTAAATATTGCTATAGGTAATAGGAAAGTTTCGTAAAAAAACACATAATAAGCAAAATATAGTTTCATAATTCCTATTAGGCAATTCGAACAACGAGATAAAAAGTAAAAAAAGTACATTTGACAAATAAATTCAATAAACTGCGGTGGCAGAAACTCACTAAACATCGGAGTTCAGACTTTTTTCAATACATTTTTGAACATGCCTTCATGTCTTGCCAATCCTGTATTTAATATTTTTAATAACAAAGAAAGTGGTTCAGAGGCAAATTCCAATATGATGCTGTCGGCATAGGACTGTTTATTTATTTTCTGTGAATTTTTAGTGCTCTATCAGTTTGAGAAAATTTTTTTACACACATTTTTGTTTGTGGCGTCATGTTTTATTTAATTTATTTGTCAAATGTACTTAGTTCACCCTAGAATTTCCAAATAAGAGAATCAAGCCTGTGACATGTATTTTAATATTATAGTAGGTAAATATTCCAAGTAGCTCGATTTTAAGTACGAAGTCTAAGAGCTGACCGCAAGAAAAGGAGTCGGTAACTTAAAAGGCTAAACTTTATAGGAATAGATGCGCCATATGTAGACCTTCAATAATCCGCCGGGTGACAACACCCCACCCCCTGCGTGTTATAAACCGTGAGACAGAGCCAAAAAAAAACCCGACCCTATACATACAAAAGTGACATATCATAAGAAATTCGACCTTGAAAAATCCGAAAAAAATACCAAAAAAATTCCAACGTCCAAATTAACAGCTGTCAAAGTCGAAAACATGACAAGGAGAAACAAATTTCAAAATGTTCCAACGACAGCTGTCAATTTTGACGTTGGAATTTTTTTGGTATTTTTTTCGGTTTTCTCAAGGTCGAATTTCTTATGATATGTCACTTTTGTATGTATAGGGTCGGGTATTTTTTGTCTCTGTCTCACGGTTTATAACACGCAGGGGGTGGGGTGTTGTCACCCGGCGGATTATTGAAGGTCTACATATGGCGCATCTATTCCTATAAAGTTTAGCCTTTTAAGTTACCGACTCCTTTTCTTGCGGTCAGCTCTCGTACTACAACTTTTAGATTATATCCATAACCCAAACGCCTGCATTTAAAATATTATTTAATTCTGACCTGAAAATCATAAAATTCTCGTAGGTGGTCGGAAGTTCTAACAAATTATTACAAGTATGAGCCACTGGGGCTCTACTCAAACCGGTATTGTCATTAAAATGTATCAATATTTTAGCATTAGCCAAATTGGACCCCGTGCAGAATCGAAGGAACGATGATCTTGTTTTCTCGTCGCTTTCTTTTATGAATTTTTTAAGAAAAGCCACGACTTTCCTTTGCTCATCATCTAAATTTTCTGGAACGTCCAGCATACATAAAATATTTTTATCGGTTGGGGCATATTTGGAATATATTTCGTCTAAATTCAGGTCTCCCAAATTCTTCTGGAAAGCATTCTGCCAACAAGCCTGCACATAGTTCGGTTTTTGGACCAATTCTTCAAAGGCAATTTGGCCTAAAAGTTTTTCAAAACTATCTTTAGTCGGTACCCACTTGCCATCATAGTTTGAACAGAATTCCAGTATGTCATCTATATCTACGCTGTCGAAATCTATCAAAGCTTTTTTTAAAAGCAATGCATCGGAAGGGGACACATACATCAAAAAGTTTTCCAATACTTCCTTTTCGTCCAGTTCCAAGCCCAAGCAACTTTTAACAAAAACTGGTGCGATTTTAATTGGGAAATACTGTTGGGATATGTAGCTTTCTACAATTATTTTGGCCACAGCTTCCCATTCTTTGTACTGAAAATCATGTCGCAGAGTAGGAACCTTCAATTCTGTGCCCATAGTGCACGCATCGTAAAATGTCAGGAAAAATTCCGAGATGGCATCCCGCAATACGCCTCCGACATCTTCTGCTTTTTCCGAAGTCCCATTCGGAAGTATCATTTCAACTTGCACATGTTTAAATTGAATATTTCTTTCTTTCATGGCGGTTAAAATTTCAGAAAAGACATGCCCCCTATGAACAATTAGTACTTCTCTTTCTTCTGGAGGCGATTCGAAAGAAGCAGGATCAGAGGGGTTGTGGGTCATGTTTCGAATTTCCGTTAACGACGCGAGAGTATTTGATACTGAATTGGTATTAGTTCTTGATGTACTTCCTGGTGCATACTCGGGCGCATACGAAGTATTCGCTGGTAAGTCGTAAATATTATTTTCGTTCAGGTAAAACATGTCCATTGGCGATTCCTGAAACATAAACGTTAAATACTTAATCAAGGCTTATAAAGGATGCTAATTATAGGTGTTACAAAACTTAAAGGGAAAATAGTATCTACTCATCAAAGAAGAAAAAGGTGGTCCAAGAGTGTTCAAATACTAATGAAAAAATATACCGGGTGTTCATTTGAAAACTTCCCACCCCAGTTTTATTAAAAACCACTGATTTAAAAAAAAAAAACGCCGAGACACGTCAAGACACGTGTCAAAGGGGACAACTTTTTAAGTAAAAATTACTTCTCCCCACTTCACCCCCTACCGCTTAGGGGCACCCCCTAAAGAATCTTAAATGGGAAAGGTTACCGAATAATAGCTTGTTTGAAAGGCCTTATCATTTAAGATTCTTTAGAAGGTGCCCCTGGGCGGTAGGGGGTGAAGTGGGGGAAAGATATTTTCACTTAAAAAGTTGTCCTCCTTGACACGTCTTTTGACGTGTCTCGGCGTTTTTTTTTTTAAATCAGTGGTTTTTGATATAACTGGGGTGGGAAGTTTTCAAATGAACACCCGGTATATTTTTTCATTAGTATTTGAACACTCTTGGACCACCTTTTCCTTCTTTGATGAGTAGATACTATTTTCCTACTATAGAATGAAAAATAACATCGTTTGACGTTATTTTTGCCTTGTTTATTTCAGTTGTTTTAGTGGCGCAACGTAGGGCAACCAAGCTGTATTAATTAAACAACAAAAAAAAAAACATTGTCTCCATTTTTTTCGAAAATGGACATTAGTTCTAGATTAAGCAACTGAAATTACAACCTATGCCCGTCAAGCTCCACTCATAGTTTTTGTTCATTTCTTTCTAAAATTTGACGTTTGATACACCTTTAGGTGTCACAATGTCGAAACAAATGAACATAAAACGCGAATTTTGCTTTACTGTGAGTGAAGCTTTATTTGGAGCATATCATGTATGATATCATTGCTTACGAACAGACCACTTTCTGAGCCTACTTGGACTTGGAGAAAGTTACTGAACAGTACGAAAAAAAATGTATCTTTATCCTAATTTAATACATGTATAATGTAAGGATAAAGATACAGTTTTTACACACTGTTCAGTAATTTGCTTCAAGTTAGGTCAGATATACTCAGAAAGTGGTCAGTTCGTAAGCAGCTTATGTCTCGCTTCGTTTTCGAGGAAAAAGAATAATCAACATTCTGCTCAAAAATAAAGTTTCATTTATTTTTGAATATCACTTCAAACAAGCTCTGGAAAAAATGAAATCGATTTTGCAAAATTTCGGTTTTTTCCGCATATTTTAATATTTCCGAAAATACGCGGAATTTTCCAAATTTCAAAATGGTATTTTGTTGGGCATTAAATTTGGCAACTTTGCCCCAATTTCAACAACCCTGTGTCTTTTACCGTTTCCGATATCCCAATGATGTGGCTCGAATTTGAAACACCTTGTATATACAGGGTGAGTCACCATATTTTGACACCCACCTGCAGCCGTAATTACAGGTGATAGGTAAAAGGTGTAAATACAAAAGTTGTAGCATTTCATCTGAACCGCCAGAATTTTCAATAAGATTGAACAAATAAGCAACGCAAAGTAAAAAATTATGTCGATGTTCAGTTTTTTCAAATAGAATGCCCATTATTTTCTTCCAAATTCCTAAGGCTCTCGTTTTTCCGATTTAGAATATATATAATATGTTAATGTTTCTTTCAATAGTTTTGGAAATATCTGGAGCTTAGTTATTCAGGGCCGGTTTTTTAATAGCAAGTCACCCCCGGGTTAAGCATAAGTCCAAGGTGAACATCGCAACTGCACACGTTAACCCTGGAGTTAAAACCAACCCTGGAGGTGACTCGCTATTGAGAAACCTACCCTCAAAGACTTTTTTGAATCAGTTTTTTGAATAAATGGGTACATTCAGGCGGTGTCAGCGGCTAAGTTCAGCTACTCAGCAGGAACCTTATTCTTGAAACAGCGGAACAGTGTTCTCTGTCAAAGTGAATATGAACGACGGAGACAGAACCCTTGTTTTCATGAGAACGCTGTTCCGCTGTTTCGGGAATAAGGTTCCTGCTGAGTAGTTGAACTTAGCCGCTGACACCGCCTGAATGTACCCATTTTTACCTTGATTCACCTGTCACCTGTCGCAAAATATTTTGGAACCCTAATAACGTGAATAGGTTTTTGAAAAACTGGACTCCAGATATTTCCAAAACTATTGAAAGAAACTATAACATATTATGTATATTCTGAATCAGAAAAACGAGAACTTTGAGAATTTGAGAGAAAATAATAGGCATTCCATTTAAAAAAAGTGAACATAGACATATTTTTCTACTTTGCGTTGCTCATTTGTTGAATCTTATTAAAAATTCTGGCGGTTCAGATGAAATGTTACAACTTTTGTATTTACACCTTTCACCTATCACCTGTAATTACGGCTGCAGGTGGTGACTCACCCTGTACATACATACCTATGAAATATCCAACGAAGAAAAAAAGTAAACATAAACCAAACTATTCCGATTTATCCCCATATATTTCATAATCTGAAGATTCTGAACCCAAACTACAGTGTGAAGAGGGCTGCAAAAAAAGGAACGAACCTTTAAAAGGTTCTGTAGTGTCAATCACTAGATTTCTTCCTTGGATAGATTATAGTTGTGTAGTATGTCCCCTAAACCCAGTATTTATAATATTCCGATTTATATAAAGTAGGGAAGTACCTAAACCCGAGTTGATAAAATGCATTTTTTTCGAGTGCTTTTGGGGCCTCACCTACTGAGCTCAGCGTGAGTGAAAAAAAAAAACGCTTGCTATGTGGTTACTCCGATAGGAACTAATCATATACCTACAAAACTTACATTAGCATCAGCACCAAATATGTTTTCTACAAGTCTTTCAAGGTTTAGACTATTCGGCTCCGAGCTGTTTCTTAAAGACATCGTAAATGTGTCTGGAGGCTTCGTAACTGCAGGCATAAAGTCGGTATCTTTTTCATGTTTTGTGGTTGCTAGGTAAAACCTTAATGTATTCGTTCCCGAGACCTCATACATCTTATTGATGTCAATATCTTCCACTATTTTCAAAGATTTATAATCTTGCAATTCATATTCGAACTCTCTGATATGTCCGTATGACGAGGAACCATCAGGAAAAAATAGATCAATAGCTTTTGCAAGAATGTCGTTATATTTCATTATTTTTGGTACCGATATCCTTCTTGTGCCACCTGTCGGCTTTCTAACAGGCCTGAATTCTTTTTTCTTCGGGCAATATATTTTCCATCCAATTTCTATCATTCTTGTTTCCTTTAAATTGTTTCCTTTGGCTTTTTTGGCAGGTTTAGAATGAGGTCGTGGCTGGGAACTCTCTCCAAAGGAATCGAAAGTTGTTCTTAGTTTCTCAATAAGGCTTATTCTCCTGCTTTTAGAAGCAAAAGATTTTAAAGCCAGTCTGTCTCCGTGCGCTGGTGAATACGGCTTCAAATCATCTTCAGTCATAGATCTCACCACAGTTATGTCAATCTAAAACAGGAATGATTTGCTTAGTCCACGTGATAGTGTTGGAAATCTACATCTATACTGTATAGGGCGATTGGCCCAGTTGTACAAATTCGGTTCAAAACAGAGTTCAGCTGAACTCGACTGGTACTTGAACTTTTCCAATTAAAATACATTGCTATCAGCTCGAATGGGGAACTTGCATCAATTTTTTTTATCGCTGATTTCGTTAGTCGATGAAAAAATAAGTCAACACGTGTTTTTTCTTTTTCCTGTTGGTCAAAAATTGACGGAGATACAACGCTTTGAAATGTGCCTATGACGTCGTAACGTATCGATTTTTTTTCGATTTCCTACAGTTTGCAATAACAATAATCAATTTAATTTTTCATACAAGTTCCCTATTCTATAAATTATTTTCTTTATTTTTCATTTCCACCTAATCACAGATTATAACAAACATAATATAAACTTAGAGGTTGTTTAAGACCTAGAGCGCGAGGCTCATTCAGTATGATGTATGTTAAATCTACGTCAGGCTATGTTGAGTTTGTTTATGAAAAAATTAAAGTAGGAGAAAAGAAAGGGAAAAAAAGATAGAGAAAAAAAACAGCAAATGCATCTCAATTGTGCGTACGGAAAATTAATAAACAATAAAGGTATTCGAAAATGTTTATTTGTTGTCATACTTTTTTATTTTTATCAAAACATACCTTTTCATCAACAAACTTTTGTATAGTCTCCTCAGGTATATTACGTATTCTAAGGAATTCATCCAACGAGTAATTATTATGTTCTCGTTCCTACAAACGAAAAGATTAAAAAAATAAATAAATAGCGTGACAAGGGTAGATAAGTATAGTTTTTTCCTACGAGCGTGCGGAAATCGACTTTCTCGCACAGTCCGGGATTTTGAGATATCAGGAAAAACTTTTTTCTACAACCGTGCGAAAAGTACTCACTTTACGCACCCTTCAGAAGACGTGAAATCATTTATTACGCACAAGTGCGTAAATAAGTGATTAACTTTTCCGCACTAGTTAGGTAAATAACTGTTTCGGCACTCGACTGCTTCGACCGCACTCTTCCGTCGTTCGGTCAACTAGGCACTCTCGTGCGGAAAAATCGATTTTCCGCACTTGTTAGGAAAATAACTATTTCTGCACTGATATATATGTACATGTGTCAAACCATTAACAAATCAAATAATTTTTAGTGTTTTTTCCAAAAAATCTAGTAGCAATAATAGGTACTATCAAATAATTGTTATTAAAAAAATTGGTTATATCTATTTTTATTATTTTCCTGACGCTCGAAGAAAAACAGTTGTTCCTATAGGTCTACAAAAGGATCTAGACTTCTTTTAGTTCAAATTCAGATAATTTTTTTGTTTTCGCTTGCGGAAAATCTTTTTTCTACAACGGTGCGTAAAGTACTCACTTTACGCTGTCTTCAAAAGACGTAAAATTATACTTTACTTCTTAGACTTTAGTTTTAGTGCGTAAAGTATTGACACATAACAAGCCATAGTTGCTCAAGAACCCTTAACCTACAGGATGGCTATCCCCATAAGGCGTACGTTCGGTATTTTTCGCCTGCCATGGCGTCTTTGTAGACTCGCCGATTTCATCTCCTTCTGCTTCACCAAACCGATTTATTTTGATGGATTTTGCTTTTGAAAATGTGCTATTGACGACGTCTCTAATTTACAAAACACATATTTCATTTTTAGGTTGTCAAAATGATGTTTAAAACGGCTTTAGTATATATGTATCAATGGCATTTCACTAATGGACCGGCCCTTGTCATATCCTCGTACAGCGTTTGTTGCAGCCAACATTAGTAAGAGAGGTCCGAGAGAGATGGAGCTCTTTATCCCATTTACGCCAAAAACCCATATAACTCAATGACACATGCATGACACACAGGTGCTGCTGAACCGCCGCGGCGGGTCAATAGTCTAGATTTGAAGTATTTTGATGTTTTGAAGGTATAATTACCTCTATCCTTCTCGCACTGCGATGGAGTCAATAGATTGCCGGTTGGGCGGGTCCATAGTGAAAACGTAATGTGATGTCATTGATATGTATAGGTGATAATTCCACGTTGTCATCACAACAAAGCATGAAATATTTCCGGACATTTTAGAAAATTTTGTTTGAAGCCAATTTTTTGAAAAAAGCATGAGTGCATAGCACCTAAAAAAATCCCGATCCCGCAGGGAGAGGGATTTTTTTGTGCTGAAAACTAAGTTTTTCTAAAATTTCCATTAGGAAATATTTTATGCACGTGTTATGTTTATCGATCGGAAATTTCCCTAGTGCCAATTTAGCTGGAAATTTTACACGCGAATTGTCAAAAATTGATAAGTGGAAATTGCATCTGGAAATATCCCGGGCGTCATTGTCATTTTTGACATTTATAGTTTCAAAACAGAAAACAGTCGACCTGTCAAAATTTTATCAACTCGGGAAATTTCCGATCAAAACATAACACGTGCATAAAATATTTCCTAATGGAAATTTTAAAAAAAATTAGTTTTCAGCCAACTTTTAAAGAAAAAAGAATTCGTGCATTGCACAAAAAAAATCCCTCTCCCTGCGGGATCGGGATGCTATGCACTCATGCTTTTTTCGAAAAATTGGCTTCAAACAAAATTTTCAAAAATTTCCGGAAATATTTCATGCACTAATTGCAATTGCAAATGCAAATTTTGACAGGTTAACTGTTTCGAAACTATAAATGTCAAAAATGACAATGACGCCCGGGATATTTCCAGATGCAATTTCCAAAACGGATGCAATTTCCACTTATCAATTTTGGGAAATTTTCGTGCAAAATTGGGAAATTTTCATATATTATATCACAAGAGCTCTAAATTTAATCGATTAAAATATCCAAAATATTTTGAGCATGATTTTGCTTGGAAAATAGTTGAATGCACAAGAACTTAATAAAAATCCGAGACCGCGAAGCGGTCGAGGGTTTTTAGGTTTTTATTTAAAAGTTATTGTGCATAAAACTATTTTCAACAAAAATATGACAATATGACAATTTATTCAATTAAATAGAGCAACGAACAATGTAACTTATTGGGTACTATCACTTAGTTTACAATTCACGTAAAAGTTGACCAAATTTCAACAATTTTTTTATTTTGACAGCACCTATCAAACATTTTATCGGATAAACTTCTGACAGGAGCTATCAAGCAATTTATCCACTTGAAAACAATTTTTGACGTTGAAATCCGTTTTTTTGATTGGTTCAAATTGACAGGTGGGAAATAATCACTTATCTAATTGAAATTTATTCGAAAAATGACGTTGTCTGATTGGTCTATGTCATGATGAATGAAATAATCGTAGGTAATACCATAAGAGTTCAGATTTAGCCGGATCTTTTTTTGGCTTGGTCTCGAATACTTACTGATTTTGTGGAACAGATCGAGATAAATTGCATAAAAGTCAGTATGAGAGAGCAAGCAAAAAAATATCCTGCTCAAAATCTGAGCTCGAATGGTATTTATCAAGGCAATTCCACGAATGCTCTTCTCTGTGTTCTCATCAGGAATTGAATTTTCTATTTCGCCATTTGCTTCATCTTTGTTAATAATTGTCCCAAATCGCTGCATGTTGGAAATATTCGTTTTTTTATTTAAAAATACACTTCTATTAGCTAAAATGATTGAATTTGTGACAGAATTATTTGACAGATGCTTCAAAAACCAATTAAATATGCAATTGTTACTGTGGTAACGATCGGATCAACAGAAAAAATATCCGATTTTTTTAGCCAGTGTAATTTTCTCTTCCTTCCTTTTTATCCGCTAGAAAATTACGATTTTTGACATTTCAAATGGGATTTCTTATACATGAGTGGGATTGCCGCTGTAATTTTTTGATTTGACACTTCTCCTATGGGAAAATTTATACCTACATGAGTGAAATATTCTGTAGTAATATCTTAATGGCATATGAACTTGTCGAATATTTTGCCTGAAGGTTTGTTGCCTAGAAACAGCTTGAATTCATTTGTATCGGTATTTGACAAAAAGTGTCCCGAGCCGTAGGCGAGGGCACTTTTTTAGGCAAATACCGATACAAATGATTGAAAGCTGTTTCTTTAAGGCAACAAATCTGAAGGTAAAATGTTCTACATAGTTCATATGCCCGAAAGATATTTGATAGACTATTTCCCGAAACAATTCATTTTTTGTCATTTTTAATACCTATGTGCACCTGCAGGAAAATATTCTGCAGTTATATATTAAGGGATGGGGAAATTATCGAAAATCATTCCGAAGATTTTTTGCCGTGCAAATCGCTCGAGGGCTTGCCCGAGAGCGATTTCCTAATGGCAAAAAATCTGAGAATGATTTTCTGATTATTTCCCAATCCCGAAATGTATTTTGAATATTATTTACCAAATAAATTAATTAATATATCTTTATTTAGCAAAGAAACAGCTAATTTACAAAGTTTACAGTCATGCACAATATACATAGACTCCAAAAATTGCAATACACAGGTATACTAATACTAAACTATTATAGCTAAAAAAAAAGCACAGCCTGCTTGTTCACTTATAAAATCAATAATCAAATAAAATACAATCAATAAAATTTAAAAAAAAAACAGACAAACAGAAAACCTACATACAGTGGATCATTATATGATCATTGTCTACCCCATGGGACTCATTAAATAGTTTTTTCTTGAGGTTAACTTTAAATGTGTTTATACTAACGCATCTTCTTATTGACTCGGGCAATTTATTATACAAAATGAAACCATTATGGAACAATGCCCTTTCCGTAGCCTTTTTATTTTTTTTGGTCACATGCAGGTTATTCTGTGACCGCGTATTATAATTATGAATGTTGCTATTATATACTAGTTTGGAGGACAAATACGATGGAGCCAAAGAATTTTTCATTTTATGTATGAGAATCAAAGTCTGGTATTCTAGATACTGTCCCACTGACAGCCAATTTAGTGAGCGAAGCATGATTTTAATTGATG